TTTAGTGGGACTTTAACTGTTTTTAACTTTTTGTATATTGTTTATTGATTATATCTGATTATATTTATATATTGTGTATTGATTATATTTGATGGAAGTTGTCCTGAGCCTGGTATGCGGGGAAGGCGGGATATCAATTAATTAATTAAATCAATCAATCAATCAATCAAGTTTGCTGGCTACAGCGCCAAATGGCAGACGTGGAAAGCAGGAAGAGCTTGGCACCTCTTAGCATGGGATTATCGAGAGCTGGTGTGGTGTAGTGTCAGGCTAGGATCTGGGAGACCCGGGTTCAGATCCTCACTCCACTGCAGAAGCTCGTTGGGTGACCCGGGGCCAGCCACACACTCTCAGGCTAACCTACCTCGCAGGCTTGTTGGAAGAATAAAAAGGAAGAGCAGAGAGCGACAGAAGCCATTTTGGGTCCCCTCTGGGGAGAAAGATGGAGGTTCCAGCTGGGTGACCTTGGGCCAGTCACAAGTCCTCTCAGAGCTGTTCTCTCAAGAGCAGCTCTCTCAGAGCTCTCTCAACTCCACCCCCCTCACAGGGTGTGAGACTACGAGTTAAGGGCAGGGTATAAATCCAACTTTCCTCCTCCTCCTTCCATATTAATAGGTTTGGGTGGGACGCCATGTCTGTCTGAAGCAGCAGAATAAAGTTCGAGTCCAGCGGCGCCTTTAAGGCCAACAAAGTTCTATTCGAGGTATAAGCTTTCCTGTGCCTGCACCCTTCTTCAGATAGTAATATTCAGGTGATAAAAGGGGGGGCACACAGACAGAGGGGCTGAGTTGAATTGTGGGCTAGGAGGGGGCTGCTCATGTGCAGCTAGAATGACCCACACGGGGAGAGGGGCAGGCGAGAGATGGGAGAGGAAGATCTTGCAGACCAGTTTTTAATAAAACGCATCCCCGTGTCTCAGGTCTCCATTCTGGGGTGCAGCAGACACAAATGTCTGAGACAGCTGGCCTTCGTTTTTGGTTGCGTGTAATGGTTAAGTGGTTAAGACGCTGAACTGCGGGCTGTGGAAGGTCGGTAGTTCAGCAGTTCGAGACCCGAGTGTGCCGCATGACGGAGTGAGCGCCCGCCTCTAGTTCCAGCTCCTGCCAACCCAGCAGTTCGAAAGCAAGAAATTGCAAGTAGATAAATAGGGACCACTTCAGTGGGAAGGTATCAGCGTTCCGTGCGCCTTGGTGTTTAGTCACGCCGGCCACATGACCACGGAAACGTCTTCGGACCGCGCTGGCTCTTCGGCTTGGAAACGGAGATGAGCACCGCAACCCTAGAGTCGGATTCGACTGGCTTTTGAGCAAGGGAAACCTTCACCTTTTTTAATGTGTTCGTCAAGTCGCAGCCGACTGACAGCGACCCCGTAGGATTTTCAAGGCAAGGGACTAATAGAGGTGGTTCGCCATGGCCTGCTTCTGTGTAGAGACCCTGGAAGGGGGCGGAGCACCTTCCCCTTGAGGAAAGGTGAAACACAAGCTCTTTATCTTGGAGAAATAACGATGACTGAGGGGGGATACGATCGAGGTTTTCAGAATTATGCACGGGATAGAGAAGGCAGAGATAAAACTCCTTTCCTCCCTCACAATACAAGAACTCGTGGGCACTCGATGTAATTAATGAGCAATGGAACAGATGAAAGGAAGTCGTTCTTCACCCAAAGAGGAATTAACACATGGGATTCACTACCACAGGAAGTGGCGGCAGCTACAAGCATATGCAGCTTTAAGAGGGGAGTGGAGAAATGTATGGAGCAGAGGCCCACAAGTGGCTCTTAGCCACAAGGTATAGATGGGCAACAGTGGGAGGGCTTCTGGAGTTCTGGCCCCGCTGGTGGACCTCTTGATGGCAACTGGGTTTTGGCCACTGTGTGACACAGAGTGTTGGAGAGGATGGGCCATTGGCCTGATCCAATATGGCTTCTCTTATATTCTACAAAGCAGAGGTCCCTGAGTGGCTATTAGCCTCAAAGTATCGATGGAACACCGTGTCTGGGGCAGTGATGATCTGTCTTCTTGGTGCTTTAGGGGGCAACACTGGGAGGGCTTGTGGAGTTCTGGCCCTGCTGGTGGACCTCCTGAAGGCACCTGGGTTCTGGCCACCGTGTGACACAGAGTGCTGGACTGGATGGGCCACTGGCCTGATCCAACATGGCTTCTCTTACATTCTTATGTCTGGAGCAGTGATGGTCTGTATTTTTGGTGTTTGGGGGGGATAACAGGGGGAGGGCTTCTGGAGTTCTGGCCCTGCTGGTGGACCTCCTGATGGCACCTGCGTTCTGGCCACTGTGTGACACAGACTGTTGGACTGGATGGGCCACTGGCCTGATCCAACATGGCTTCTCTTATGCAATTCCTTGGTGGTGTATCATACAAGTCCTAACCAAGGCCAACCCTGCTTAGCTTCCATGGTCTGATGACCTTATTTTCAGTGAGGTCCAGTCTCTGAAGAAATAAGAGAGGCGTCTGGCCTGTTCCTAGTCAGGAAGTATGAGAGACAAAGTCCCACATATCTCCCGTGTTTGCTTCCTTTTGCATTGCAGAAGAGAAGACCTTTGGGAATATCTCTGAACAATCTGTTCTGGCCATCAGAGAAAAAGACCCTCTCAACCTCACTTGCGAATTACAAATTTATCAGAACAGCTCCTCAGACGTTGCCCTGTATTGGTTTAAGGAGACCAATCAGAGCACGTGTCTTTTCTCTGCTTCAAATGAAGGGAATTCCACGGAAAATTTTTCTCACGATGTCAATTGCTGCGTGGATGCTGCCATCAAACAGAGGCGGACCAATCACTCGGTCGTCTTCGAAGGAAAACGGCTGCATCAGCATCTGACCATCGTCAATGCCAGTTCTTCCGACAGCGGAACGTATCTGTGCGTGGTTGCCATCTGGACCAAGCACAAACGGGTGTGGACGGTTGCCCGCAACGTGTCTGTAGAAGTTGTGGATTCCACGCTGCCGCCTGAGTTTCCAACTGATGAGGGAACCGGCGAGGGAGGAAGCCGTGAGTAGCCATGGATAAGAGAACGGCCCAGTTTCTCCTCTTCTTGCCACTTCCGCTGGCTTCCCCCACTGTTCTTGGGCTCTGGCATGCATCCCCCAGCCAGTTTAATGTAGTGGTTTGAATCTGGGAGAACCGGGTTCGATTCCCCATTCCTCCACATGCAGCTGCTGGTGCGACCTTGGGTCAGTCACAAGTTCTCTCAGAGCAGTTCTCTCAAGGGCAGTCCTCGAAAGGGCTCTCTCAGCCCCACCTGCCTCGCAGGGTGTCTGTTGTGGGGAGGGGAAGGGAAAGGAGATTGTCAGCCACTCTGAGACTCCTTTGGGTAGTGAAGGGAGAGGAGAAATCCAATCTCCTCCTCCACCTCCTCCTCCTCTTCTTCATCTATGCGCCTCTCCCATAGTGTTGCCAGCCTCCTGCTGGGGCCCGGAGATCTCCCAGAATTACAACTGATTTCCAGACGACAGAGATGAGTTCCCCCAGGGGAAAAATGGCTGCTTGGGAGGTTGGGCTCTCTGGCTCGATACCCCGCAGTGGTCCCTCCCTTCCCTTCCCTCCCCAAACCCCGCCTTCCCCAGGCTCCACCCCCCCACATCTCCAGGAATTTCCCAGCCTGGAGCTGGCAACCCTGGCGAGTTCAGGTCCGCCACCCTCTCGGCAATCTGGCTCCGGATCCTCACAAGGGAGAAGAGAAACGAAGAAGGGGATTTTCTGGATGCTGTGAGAAATTTGCGGCCGCCTTTCGTTCCAGTCCTGGTTTCCTCGCCTTCACTCTCGGCTCAGGCCTCCTGAAAACAATTCGCTGCGGGACGCGGGGTGGCCAGGCCCCCCCTGGAGGGGGAGGGGAGGTTTGCCAGATCCAGGTTGGGGGACTCCTGGAGATTTGGGGGTGGAGCCTGGGGAGGACAGAGACCTGAGTGGGGGACAATGCCACAGAGTCAACCCTCCAAAGTATCCATTCTCTTCAGGGGGACTGATCTCTGCCATCTGGAGATGAGTTGGAATTCTGGGGGATCCCCAGGCCCCACCTGGAGGCTGACATCCCTAGCAGAAACTGGGGGGAAAAACCCCACACAGAATTTCAATACTTAGCATGTTCTCCAATCAGGGTTGCCAGTCTCCAGGTGGCAGATGGGTATCTCTTGGGATTACGACTGATCTCTTGGTGATAGAGATCAGTTCCCCTGGAAGGAATGGCCACATTGGAAGGTGCACTCTGTGGCATTAGACCCAGGCCCGTAGTCAGGATTTTGTCGCTTGTGGGGCAATTCTTTTTCCTGATGGGGCTGAAGTGCAGAGAGAAAAGCCACTGAGCCAATTGAAAGCGGTGACCAGGAGAGATCTCTACACTGCAGACTGTCAACCACTTGAGATGACAGTTCTCAGCCGCTGCAAGTTAATCACTTCTGCCAACTGAAGCAACAATTCTGAGAACAAGCCGGCAGGTGAGAGTGATGACTTCTAGAGCAAAGAAAGCTAACACTTAGGCAGAAAAACTCTCTGAAAGGAGACCAGTTTCTTGACACAGAGTTGGAAGGGATCCCAGAGGTCACCTACTCCAACCCCCCCTTTCTCAGTGCGGGAATTAGTCAACTGCAGCACCCCACCCTGCTTAAAGGAGCACACACCTTTAAAATGTTTTTAAATGATTTAACAAAGCATTTCCAGGAAAAAAGTCTTGTGGGGCCAGTCTCTAAGGAAAGGGGGCAGAGCCCCCCAAAGCGCCCCCATGGCTACAGGTCTGATTATACCCCATTGAGGTCCCTCCCCCACCCAAACCCTGCCTTCTTCAGGCCCACCCCCCCAAATCTCCAGGTATTTCCCAACCTGGAGGTGGCAACTCTATATCAGATCAATGCCTGTGGCCTATTTTCACCATTAAAATGTTCATAAATAATTTGTAAACAGTGCATCTCTCGATAAACCTCTACCTGATTCAAAAGCTTTTCTGCCCACCAATGTAATATTATTTCTGATTGCCTTTTAGCCGACAGTCCTCCAAATGCGTTACTGATCTCTCTAGGAGTGATGGGAGGTGTTATACTCATTGGTGGGATATTAGGGCTTCTTTACTGGAAGAAGAAGGCAAAAGGTAATAAACACAAAGTGAAAATATAACTGTAGTGCATAATATGTAGAAGCCGTTGAAACACAGGAACTTCACCCTGCTTATATATCTGTTACAGGAAATCCTGTTGAAGAACACCCAAGGAAATATATTTGCTATATTGTAATTTTTTTTTGTTTAAAAAATCCTCTTTGTGGGTTTTCTTCCAGACAACTAGAAACGTTTCTAAAACCCTTTTCTGTTTTTATCTAGGAATCAGATGAAAATGAAAGAGGACGACTGTAAGCATAATTTTTTTGTTTTCTTTTACTGAAGTGACAGTTCACGCCACTTATAAAATAAATGAAGTAAATAAATAAACAGACGTAACAAATGTAGAAAGCCACACACGAGAGATTTCTGCCTATTTTGCAGAGCATCGTAAAAATACGGGCCTTGAAGTGAACTTCACATTTAGAAGGACTGGCATACGACTGTCAATGTCAGCCACGGTGTAGGGGCACACCAAGAAGCAATGCTCCCTCTAAGCTGTGGAGTCTCGTGAGCAACAATTCTACTTTGTGAGCTGCTGGCATGAAAGTTGTGAGTGAGCGATTGGGCCGCTGCATAAATTAGTTTGGTCTGGACTGGAGCCCTCCTTCCTGAGCTAAGACAAGAAATGCGTGAGCCGGAGGCTAAAAAACTGTGAGCTAGCTCACACTAACTCAGCTCAGAGGGAACACTGCCAAGATTCTCCTTTTACATTTCTTAATGTTGCTGTTAGAGGCCTTTTCATTTGGGTGATCTTCATCTGTGGTATCCAGATTTGCGTGGTATCCAGCTTGTCAGTTTCATGATCACTAGTCCCACGGGACTCTAGTAATTTATTTATTGTATTTATTTATACTTTCAGTTTATATTCCACCTGCATTTACCTGTATTGAATATACTCTTTTTCAAGGACAGTGATATACATACAAGACATAAGGTGCAATAAATTCTCTTTGTGAGTATAAAACTCTTAAAAGAGCAGCCTTTTCCTCGGGTCCCATCGGAACCCTAGCGGCAAACATAATAACTTATCTAGGAGAATGTATCTCTCAAGTTCTGATAGGGACAGAACGACGTATCATTTGGCTGTGGAATGAAGAACCCCTTAGTTTATTATCCCAATTTATCCCCAAAGGGTTAACTCCTAATTGGTAACCCGCCCCCTGGTTTAATTTGATTTCAGTCATCAGGATTCAACCTCTGTCTTGGATTCAACCTCTTTTGGTCTTACAGGCTCCCCGTATGCAGTAAGCAGCAGGAAGGATATAGACCAGAATGAAACCATGTATTCGGTCGTGACGTTCCCCCCGGAAACTGGACAGGGCACCTCTACTTTATCGGGTGGCAACCCAGCTTCTCAGCCTGGAGAGAAAGTGCATACCGTTTATGCTTTGTTGTCTAAATAGAGAAATAAAGTCTTCTGCGTGCAGCCAGACTGAATCTTGGAACATATCAATTTGTCCTTTAACAACCAAGGATCCCCTTTGCTTTCCAAATGATCTCAGCCCATAGAAGTTCCATTTGTGTACAAGAGAGTCCACCAAGGGTTTTGAGCCAGGTGACAGGCTAGCTTAAACCACTGCCTTGGAGCCTCAGTTTGCACAGGTATATAGCTGATGCACCATCTTAGCTTGGACACATGCAGCTGCCTTCTACTGAATCAGACTCTTGATCCATCAGACTGGCAGCCGCTCTCCAGGGTCTCAGGCGGAGGTCTTTCACATCACCTGTTGCCACTGGTCCATTTAACTGGAGATGCTGGGAATTGAACCTGGGACCTTCTGCATGCCAAGCAGAGGCTCTGCCACTGAGCCACGGCCCCTCTTTACAGCTCTCCAGGGTCTCAGGCGGAGGTCTTTCACATCACCTGTTGCCACTGGTCCATTTAACTGGAGATGCTGGGAATTGAACCTGGGACCTTCTGCATGCCAAGCAGAGGCTCTGCCACTGAGCCACGGCCCCTCTTTACAGCTCTCCAGGGTCTCAGGCGGAGGTCTTTCCCATCACCTGCTGCCCGGTCCTTTTTAACCAGAGATGCCAGGGACTGAACCTGGGACCTTCTGCACACCAAGCAGAGGCTCTTCCAACTGAGCCACCCCCCCCTCCACCTTCTGTCCATCAAGTTCTGTGTTGTCAACTCAGACTGGCAGTGGCTCTCTAGAGTCTCAGGCAGAAGTCTTTCCCATCACCTCCTTCCTAGTCCTTTTAACTGGAGATGCCGGGGCTTGAACCTGGGACCTTCTGCATGCCAAGCAGAGGCTCTTCTACTGATCCAGGGTCTCAGGTCAAGGTCTTTCCCGTCACCTGCTCCCTGGGCCTTTTAGCTGGAGATGCCGGGGATTGAACCTGGGCCCTTCTGCATGCCAAGCAGGTGCTCCACCACTGAGCCACGGCCCCTCTTCTATA